TGAAAAATGTCGTGTGTCCCATAGTAGTCCCCATATACTACTCGGAGATGTGAGTTTCTTTTCATTTTAATTGCAATCTCAAACCTCCTGGCATTACTGCCCTTTACAGGAGTACTAAAATGAACATAGCAACAGTTTTTAATTTTTGTACTCCTGTAGTTTTGTACTCCTTTTGGTTTTTATTGCAATCTCAAGCCTCAGGGCATTATATAACGCCCTTTCACAGTAGTACAAATATTAACAAAACAACAGTTTTCATTTTTGTACTCCTGTAGTTTTGTACTCCTGTAGTTTTGTACTCCTGTAGTTTTTATTGCAATCTCAAGCCTCAGGGCATTATATAACGCCATTCTACTGGAGTACAAATATTAACAAAACAACAGTTTTCAGTTTTGTACTCCTGTAGTTTTGTACTCCTTTTCGTTTTTATTGCAATCTCAAGCCTCAGGGCATTATATAACGCCATTCCACTGTAGTACGAATATTAACAAAAGAACAGTTTTCATTTTTGTACTCCTGTAGTTTTGTACTCCTGTAGTTTTTATTGCAATCTCAAGCCTCAGGGCATTATATAACGCCATTCCACTGTAGCACAAATATTAACAAAAGAACAGTTTTCATTTTTGTACGACTAAAGAAGAGCGAAATTATTAATTAGTGAAGGCGCTTGATATTGTGATAAAATTGAAAAGAAACTCACATCCCCAGAAACCTGTTGCATCAATCAATTCACATACAGGACATTCACATCTATTAAATTGATGGATAGTATAGAAGAGTAGTATATGGTAACAAATAATCAAGTCCTTGATCGAATAGGTACAGAACGCCAGCTGATATAGTTCATAAAACAACGAAAACTGACGTTTGCTGGACATGTGATGATCAGCAGGAGAGACATTGTTGACAGTGTTGGAGGGAAAGTTCCGGGGGAAGAGATCGAGGGGAAGGAAAGAACAGGGATATACAGACGATCTAAAACAATGGACTGGACGACACGAGGAGATGGCGGAGGAAGCATGGAGAGACCCTCAGTAGAGGAAGACACTGTAGGAGGAAGATATGGAGAGACCCTCAGTAGAGGAAGACACTGTAGGAGGGAGATATGGAGAGACCCTCAGTAGAGGAAGACACTGTAGGAGGGAGATATGGAGAGACCCTCAGTAGAGGAAGACACTGTAGGAGGAAGATATGGAGAGACCCTAAGTAGAGGAAGACACTGTAGGAGGGAGATATGGAGAGACCCTCAGTAGAGGAAGGCATTGAAGGAGGGAGATATGGAGAGACCCTCAGTAGAGGAAGGCATTGAAGGAGGGAGATAATAGAGTAAATATCACATAACAATATGGGAGCTCTCAGATGTGAGAAAACAACTTACAGGATTATTCTTGCGTTCTTCAATCATTTTCTCCGTTATTTTCTGGAAGAAGGCCATCGCTTCATTATCGAAAAAGTTTTTCTTGGTGAACTTGAGCAACGCGGGGAAGACCACTGAAAACAACGATTGTATTACACCGGTGTCCAAATATTGGCAAATTGATATAAAAATGTTGATATCAAAATTTCCCTATTTTGATCCACAGTTTATTCTATGGATAGTCCATTTAGATCGCTATGTTTTTTTTTTTTTTAATAATTAGTTTTTAAAATAAATATTTCAAATATATAAACAAAAATTCGAGGAGAGTAAAAACGGATTAAGACCATTTAAGCCAAAGTATTGACTAAAGTGAACTGAAGGCATCCAATATTCATATATTGTTCGATGCATCATCCGTCAACAATGTTTGATGCAATTGTCACCTACGCAGAAGGACAAAATACACCCCGATGTTCTGAGAGAAGACTTTCTGGGCATGTTTGACGAAGGGGTTGTCGGGGTCGTGGTGGGAGTCCAGCTTGGTGCCGAAGGCCGTCGTGGCGATCACATCCATTGTGAAGGCCCCGAAGATCCTGGGAACAACAACAACCTTATAAATACATTCATGGAGTTCACGCTCATTTTGTTCACACTTGGTTATCTCGTGTGTCTTCAATAAAGGTCGCTGTAATATCTTTCAGAGTTATTGTCTGAATCCCGATATACATGCTAAAAGGTACAACTTCCTTAAGTTTTGTCCATGAGTGTATCTTTCAGAGTTATTGTCTGAATCCCGATATACATGCTAAAAGGTACAACTTCCTTAAGTTTTGTCCATGAGTGTATCTTTCAGAGTTATTGTCTCAATCCCGATATACATGCTAAAAGGTACAACTTCCTTAAGTTTTGTCCATGAGTGTATCTTTCAGAGTTATTGTCTGAATCCCGATATACATGCTAAAAGGTACAACTTCCTTAAGTTTTGTCCATGAGTGTATCTTTCAGAGTTATTGTCTGAATCCCGATATACATGCTAAAAGGTACAACTTCCTTAAGTTTTGTCCATGAGTGTATCTTTCAGAGTTATTGTCTGAATCCTGATATACATGCTAAAAGGTACAACTTCCTTAAGTTTTGTCCATGAGTGTATCTTTCAGAGTTATTGTCTGAATCCTGATATACATGCTAAAAGGTACAACTTCCTTAAGTTTTGTCCATGAGTGTATATAATTTGCTAACGTGACCATAATCATCTATAGGTATATTAGTGATAAAAATGCTTTTGATATATAGACTACTAGCGGATGTACCCGGCTTCGCCCGGGTTTTACCCTAGTGAAAGTTTACCTAACCACTACTTTATAAAAAATATTTTTCGAGCATACATCCACTCTCTACTTAAACTTTTTTATAAAGATAAGCCGTACCCGTTCACACGTTGCTGTGTTTGTACAAAAAGGCAGTTATGATACCTCAAACATAATTTATTAATGATAAAATGTATACAATACATCAAAATGAAAATTAATAATGAAATTATCCCTACATATAAGTCATTTGAATATAACATATGTACAAAACATAGATATACATAGTTAATGGTAGAATAAACATGCTTCTTCATTTGTGATATTAAACAATATTGCAAACGAATTTCAATCGAACAACAATTTTGTAATTATTAAATATTATCATGAAATGAATGATATTTGATGATTGATGGTGAACTTTATCTTAGTAGTGCTTGTAAATATACAACATTTTTGTTTTCCCATTCTGTCATTGTCTGTAGATGACTAGACTTAAATCTGGAAATTAAAGACTGTTGTTGTGAAATGCAATAGATTTTATTAATAATTACTAATTATAATGAAGTATTTGTTCTAAATATTCCGTGAAATCTTCAAATTGATAAAATGTATGTTTTTTTTTACCTTTTAGTATTGTAGGGTTTCCCGGTCTTGCTGATTTCCTCCAGGTTCCTGCAGGTGGTCTCAGCGCATTCATTGATCAGTAGAGCCATCTGCACCAAAGATTAAACTGGCGAAACCGCTGGGAGGATTCATCATTGATGAGCCAGGCCTTCCTATTGTTTTTATCGCAGTAAGAATAACATTAAGGTCTTTATTTATAAACAAAATTGCGCTATAAATAGAATCAATTTGCATATTGTTATTTACATAACTTACAACTCCGCCTTTGCCGGTCCCAAGCCCGGATGAAAAAGGAGGAGGGGGAGCAGTAACAAGCTCACTAAACAACCTGGGTTCAGCTGGCCCGGCTGATAGTACCCTGTAAGGTCTCCAGGTATACAAGATGAGCAGCGTTTGTACTCCATGTTAGGAGTGGCTGTACATGGCGTCTGTTCCTCATGTCAGAGGCGGCCATTTCTTTTGAAGCTAAGTCGGCCTGCCACTGAGTAGTGCTCCCAGTCTTAATGACGAAGACATTCTACTTCACCCAGACCCTAATATGATTGAGTGGAGATAGGGAAGAAGACATAACTTACCTTTCTCATTTTCCCGGAGGAGAAGGTTGGAGAGACTTTGGTGCGAATTCTCCTCCAGGTGTCTCCGTGGAGATTTGAGAGAATCTTGGAAGAGACATCGTCTGTTATTAAAAAATCCTGGAAATAAAAAATGTATTTCAGAATATCATTAACCACGAAAAGATATACGAGGATGTATTCAATTGCTAAAAAATTCTTCAAACCCTTTTAATAATTGTTCTCTTGCAATTTATTCACAAATACCTTATTTGCATATATACACATATATAATATATATTACTAATATAAATGTATATCTAAGGTCTTTAAGTTTTTATTAGAGTTGGCCTATACTCTCCTTTATTTGAAGTATCAAGAAAAAAAGCCACAAAGTTAATTATTAAAAATAAAGAAACATATCCTGACCAGGAGCACATGTGCTTTTTAGATGGCAGTGCGCCATCTAGTGGAACAAAAATCAACTAAACATTGATTTAGTCTGTTCCCTGATATTTATATATAGCCAACCTATTTTCTTGCTAAATCAAGAAAAGCCATCCACGAACGCGTTTCGCGCTGTTGGCGCTCGTCAGCGTGGAGCGGGCTATACCACTGCGACCAAAAATATTTTTGGGGTAAGAGACTTCTTGAGAGAAACCAAGAAATTAATTATATTATGAATAAATTTTAATTATGATGCATTAGCGCGCCATCTGTTATCAAAATTCGAAACTATTATAGACGCGTATTATTCTTTTGAAAAATTAAACAATTTTTATTGCCCTTACTGCAATGAAAAAATTAATGGGAGGGCCTGACTCATCAGTGGTGAACCCTCCTAGCGTTTTCGCTAGTTTAATCTACCATACTCGTAAAACCTAAACTGGCAACCGCTGGGAGGGTTTATCACTGATGAGCCAGGCCCTCCCATTAATTTTTCCATCACAGTAAAGGCAGTAGAAATTATTTTATTTTACAAAAGAATCATACGCGTCTAAAATAGTTGAACGACATTTGAAAATTATCCCGCAAATGTTTCTTTTGAACAAAAATCGAATTTATTTTAAGGAGAAATAGCGATTATTTCTAACCTTAGGGATAAAGTATGAGAGGATGAATTGTGAAGAGTAATGAAGAACGGAAAAATAAAAGTTTCCAGGGATGGGAATCGAACCCACAGTGTTCCGCTGACCGGGCAGATGCCATGTCCACTAGGCTACCCGTCTATAATAGTTTCAAAATTTTTGATAGATTTATATTTCTAAGACATTGGGTTTTCACAAATTCAGAAGAACAGCACAATCAAGTATCTCAGAAGAGAGATTATATGATATGATTTTAACACCGTGTGTGGTGGCCAATACATCAGACACTCACCCGTCTGTTGGGGAAGATGTTGAAGTCCTTGATGGTGATGTCCCGTATCAGGTCAGGCTCGGCCACCATCAGAGTCGGCGTGGATAACTCGATAATGCTGTGGCACAATGTTCTATGCCGATTTCGATTCCATTTTCACTGAGTTCTAGATTATATACATATATAGATGGAAATTTTGCCGGGAGGAAATTGATCTAAAGAGACAAGGATGGCGTCTTGTTTTAGACGTCTATTTTGACGGGAGAGGCGACCCTTGTCTCTTTACATATATACACTTATATATGTAATATGCCTTGAATGTGAATGTCTTGAATATGAAATATGCCTTTTTAATTATTGATTTATTTATGGATTGCTCTATTTTCAAAATACCTATATATATTAAAAATAAAGAGGGCATTTCCTGACCACGAGCACATGTGCTTTTTAGGTGGCAGAGCACATGTGCTCGTGGTCAGGTGATGCCTTCTTTATTTTTAATACCAACACCTGACCCACTTATCTTTTATTTTTTCTACTATTTTTCATATATATATATGTGATATGATCCTGTCGACTTTCGATTTGGCACTATAGTGATAATAATGTGGTGAGTGAGAAATAAGTAAACAACAAGTTTGGAAGATGGAACCCAGCAAACCGAGGGAGAGAGGGAGCGCTAGCGGGCTGCCACCGCGGAAAATGCACGTCTTGTGTGGCCACCACCCCCCCGACTGAGTAAACATAGCACTGAGGTTCCAAGAAAAGGCCCTGCGGTCGCCCCCTTGGAATGTGACTGCTATATCAAGTGACCGGCCTTAGCTGCGTTCTCTCTCTCTGGTCGACTGTAGATTTGTTTTATTAATCCTGGAAGAGCATATATTATGACATATGGCCCCCGTTGAAGAAGGCTGAACATGGTTTGAGTATACTTAAAGCTGGTGAAGCCAGGGATAGAAAAAATAATTTTACAGTTGAAATTAATTAAGGTAATGGTGACATAGTTTTATGTAAATAAAATATTGAATAGTACACAAGTAAATATTATTTACAAGCAATTTTATAACACCGGAGAGTTTGACATTTAAGGAAATCTTTAAAAATATCAAGGTTATAAAAGGCTATATACAACAAAATCTAATGTACTATAAGGTAAATGACATTGAGGAGTGTGAACAAGGTGAAGGGGAGTCACAAACACATGATGAAATTCTGAAGATCATTAAGACTGGGGAACTCTACACTTTAAGATATTTTTAAGGCGGACATGGCAAGGGGAAACTTGGCATGGGCTTTCTATGCTATAGGTGTAGAGTATGAGAAATGAGGTTGAGGTTGGCAATTGTGTGAGCTCAGGACTGAGGTAAATATGGAACTACATACAATGTTAGAACCTTGGCGAACAGAGCGAGGGGAAACTTGCCCTGGGCCAATCTACCTTATCTATGTAGTTACTTGTGTAGCGAGTCCGAGGGGAAAAGTCCCGTGTGAAGGTGAGGAAGTCGAATGGACTTATATTTAATTTGCGGAAAGTATGCGCGCACAGTGCCAAAAATTGGGACGAGGATTGCGTTGTCCGTTACAAGTGACAAGCTGCTCGGACACGAGGTGTTTGAACCGTCGTGGGAGCTTGTGCAAGGCGATGATTTCGCGGTGGGTTGAACGTGAAACCCATGTCTGCGCGAAATGATGACGGACCGGACAGAATCAGCGACGATGTTTAACGTACCTCCTTGGGAAATATCGAAGGTAGGCTATATCGTGCTGGTTTGGACAATAGACAAACATAGATTTGAAGACAGGGTCCGTGTGGCGAACGTGTGGCGCGAGAAGAAGAGGCGAACTGTGTCGCTCGATGCAGATTGTTCAAGTGCGAACAAAAAGGGGTTGATAAATATCTAGCAGTTAGTCAATCTGCACCCTGTGACGAACACGCCATTGGCTAGATGGTGTGGGTCGGTGGATAGGCTAGAGATGAACTACGAAATAAATGATCATAAATGAAGGGCGAAGGTTAGGATTTTGAAATGACAATATAGAAGTTCGATAATTGATTAATCAATAATTCTCTATAAAGGTCCTGAGCTGGTATAAAGTTAACAAAATTGTAAGAATGAGAGGGGCATTAAGGGGAAGATAGATAAGAGTCACCAAGGGTTGGTTGTAAGCAAGGCTCACGTGGTGGTTGGAATTCTTCGACGCCTGAATTACAGGGTGAATTTTGAATCGATTAGGGAAAGAAATTATTTTTCGTGAGCCGTGCTTACAAGTAGGAGAGGTCTATACAAAAGTTTAGGTGCTGAAAGCATATTTTTATAAATAAATTGATTATGAAAAATCTATTGTTAATAGTAAAAATCGTAAAGCATTAATAGGTAGAATTCCAATTTTTTTTTTTAAGAGTTTTTTTTTTTTAAGAGTTACGTTAAAAATGGAAATTACTTAATTAAAATAACGATTGTTAAATTCTACTGGTAAGGTAACTAATTAAATGAGTTACAAATATCTAGATAAAAAGTATGGAGCATAAATTCATTGTTAATAGGCATGGAGAAAATAAATGGAGCTAATTATGTAAATATTGGGACAATTTACAAGGAATGACTTATTTAAAGAATGAATGGAAGGGGTAAAACAATTTCACTTACAGGTTATGTTGGTTTAGAGAGCAGGCAAGTTCATTGAGATTCGGGAGAGTTCTGTCTGTGACTTTGTGCGTACCAGTGTTGTACATCACAGTAGCGGCAGGGATATGGCGGAGTCTTGTCCATGATGATGGAAGGTGTCCTGCTCTGGCACGGTGGTCGTTCTTGGGTAGATCTAGTGCTGGAAGAAGTTTGTGGCAGCTCCATCTCCGTCGTAGGTGAATACTTCTTCGGGATCACGGTTCAAAGGTTGGCGAAGAAGGGGTTGAGGGCTCGAAGAGGAGTGGTTACAGTTGAGTTGGGTTTGGCCGATCATCGTGGCTTGGCTTCTTGTTTCTTCATACTCCGGTATATGAGGGATTTGCTTCCCGGCCAGGTCTTATCCTGTCGACTCTTCTGTGATATGATCCTGTCGACTTTCGATGTGGCACTATAGTGATAATAATGTGGTGAGTGAGAAATAAGGAAACAACAAGTTTGGAAGATGGAACCCAGCAAACCGAGGGAGAGAGGGAGCGCTAGCGGGCTGCCACCGCGGAAAATGCACGTCTTGTGTGGCCACCACCCCCCCCCCCCCCCGACTGAGTAAACATAGCACTGAGGTTCCAAGAAAAGGCCCTGCGGTCGCCCCCTTGGAATGTGACTGCTATATCAAGTGACCGGCCTTAGCTGCGTTCTCTCTCTCTCTCTGATCGACTGTAGATTTGTTTTATTAATCCTGGAAGAGCATATATTATGACATATATATACTAGCGGATGTGTTCCCGGCTTCGCCCGGGTTTTATCCGAGTGAAAGTTTGCCTAACGAATATTATTGATGATAATAATATTCGTTACATTATATATTTATATAATGTATAAAATATATTTTTCGAGCAAAAATATCCATTCTCCTCTCTACTGAATAGATTTTTAAATATATATATATATAAATGAAAATATCTAGAGATATACTACATGATCTTAGCCAAAAGGACGAGAAACGATATTTTATATATAGAGATGACCTGGCTTCGTGTGTCTTCTGCTCGAGTGAATGTTTCGCTGGTAGAATTTTGTTCCTACCTACTAAAAATTATTATCTGGCTTCGCCCGTGGTCTGCTTTAGTGAATATTCCCCTTAAGAATTTTGTTTATGTCAATCAAGCATGATACAGCAATATTGTCATCATCATTTCTGACAAAAAAATATATGGGGACTCAGTACTTGGTTAATTATAATTTTTCTTGGTTAAAAGTTCGACAAAAAACTTCCAGATTTAACTCTCTGTCCTGTTCAAATTTCAGCGAGATTAGGTACAAATTGAGGGCGTGCATAGCCGACCAACATATATATATATATGTTCCCGGCTTCGACCGGTTTTTACCCGAGTAAAAGTTTGCCTAACGAACATTTGTTAAAACGATTCTAGCAAACATCCAATCCCTACTGAATCTATACTTGTCTAAACTCTCGATAATTTGATTTTTTTTCCGGTCCCTTGAAAAATACTCGATAAGTTGAATAAAATCAATATCAATTGGTACACTCGGTAATTTGAAGTTGAAGGAATAGTATATTTCCACAAACGACATGTAGCGAATGTACCCGGCTTCGCCCGGTTTTTATCCGAGTAAAAGTTTGCCTAACGAACATTTGTTAAAACGATTCTATAAAACATCCAATCCACCTATATATAGATTTATAAACGTATATAAATATAAATATTGTTATATGCGTTTAAATATATTTTTGACACACATAATATTTTGAAAACATTCATTATATTTTAAATAAGATATTGTCACTTTTGTGAATTTGATAATTAATTATTTCTTTTTTTCTCAATGAATTATATATATTAATTTAAAAATTCATTTTTGTTATCATCATCACATATAATGTAATTTTTATATAAACAAAGGAAATAAACAACAACAACAATGGTATTTGCATCTTCATTATTATAAAACAACAACAAATTAAATCAACAATGTAAAAGTATATTTTAACATTACATTTTAACATTAAACACAAAAACGTTACAATATTTTCTTTAAATATATATTAATATTAAAACGCCAAGTTTTTTTCACGTCATTTGAACATTATATTACTGAATTCTCAAATTAAATTTATTATCCTTGGAACATATTTTAAGCATTGTTACAATTTATAAATATAATTTCATCAGATTCCGCGAGAGGCGCTGCTTGCGAGTGAAAGTAGAAAATTTGCAAATAAAATTG